CCAATACCCACTTTACTGTAGCTGAGAAACAGTGAGTCCACATGTGAATTACTATCAGTTGAGGTTGAAACCAAGTGGGAGTGAATTGGATAGGGAGATTAATTTCAGCAGAAAATACCAACATGTATTCTTAAACTAGGAGCAACTGTCAAAGTAAAACTGTGTTCAAGAAAAACTAGAGAGAGAGAGAGTGACTTAGTAGAAACTGCATTTAGAATTTTTTTCGTTGTTATAGGCTTCTGAAGAAAGCTGTGCTGCTTTATCTAGTAAAATCCTTGCACCACAGAGAAGCTGTATAAATTCAAGTTGCATGCTTAAGAAGTAATGGATTTCCAAGTTCAGTTTTGCATGGTGGGAAGATCAGAATAGAGGGGAAATGCAGGGTGTGATCATTGCCACACAATCTACATCTGGTTTGATGGAAAACAGAAAAAAACTGGGAAAGTTATCTATAGATATATACCCACATTCACAAACAAGACAGATTGACAAAGCCTCTATTGGAATTCAAAGCAATGACATTATCACAGATTTGTCCATTAAATATACTGATAGCCATGCAGTCATTGCACCAGGGTCCCAAGTGTACCACACATTTCCCATTGATCTAAAGCTACTGACTATTGCAGCCGTATATATTTTAGCTGACCAAGGAATCCCAGAACATTATGCCTTTTGGAAAAAGTATTGACTTGTTCACATTCTCACACATACAGTGGGGTAAGTGCCAGGCCTGGCAAAACCAAACCGAGCATCCTACACCAATCTAGTCATATCTACAATCACAGTTAGCAAAATGTGAAGGACAAGTGTGATGTATGTCGCACTGTAATTTACCCTTTTGTTTCCTGCATACTGCAACTTAAAATTTCTAGGAGTTTGAAAGCGATTGCCATTTTGTGTTCAGTTCAGGCACTGATTTAGTGAGTCGTTGGATTCTCTTTCACAGATATTTTATTAATAAGTCACCTAGTCTAGTCTAAATACATGTATTTTGGCTTGTGTGCACATTAAAAAAAATACAGAAACATATTGCTTTGAGGAAAACTTAGTTGTAACATCCCTGCTTCAAACTCCCACTTTTTCCATTCTCAGCATGTGCGTGCATTTATACAAGTTTTATTGCACTTCATTTAACTTTACTAAAAAGAGAAAAATTATTATATGGGGGTGAAAAATATATATTGTCATGCTTGTAGTAGGTACAAGCTATAGAAATTTGATCCAATGTATAGCAGCATAGTCTCTCCTCATTTCTTAGACAGCCAAGAGATGATTTTAGGTACCTTATTACTTGCAATAATGAAAAAAAACCAGACAATATTTATCCATTATAAACATTTGGTCATAACTAACTCTAGTTTCTAATCTCCAAGTCCCCTTAATTTAACTGTTAAACAATTTGGGATTTGTTTGTTAGCCATAACCGATTTTCTTTTTTTCCATATATTAAATATTAATTCTGTAACCTAGATTAAAACATGTAAATGCCACATCACGGTATACAATTGTATTAAGGAACACAGGGGATTCAAAGTTAGATTTAATGATGGCTAGGATTTAAATACATGTATGTGCACACAATCTCAGCCACAAAATTGGTATTCTGAGAGATTTTTAACTGGCCTTCCTGTTTAAAATCCAAGAATACCTCATATAAAGATTAATCCCTTTCACAAATTCTGGAACATAATTATATTCATACTATTACATGCGTGATCATGCAGTTTAAAATCTGCTTTAAGGTTAGAACACTTCTACCAGGGCCGGCTCTAGCTTTTTTGCTGCCCCAAGCAGCAAAAAAAAGCGCCGCCCCCGAGCCCCCCCCC